TATATAAATGCATATTATGTAAGGCCCTCGTCCTGTGATGTGCTGACTTCACTGGGACTCGGGGGTACTCAGCACCTTGCAGGATGGGTCCCCAAATATAGAATAGCTGTCATGGCTCCAGGGCTTAGTCCCTAAGGGCTGATGAGATGTTTTTCAATGAGTGAGGACTGCAGGATGAGGATCAAATTTCTGTTATCTCTACATTCTGACCTATCAGCTTCTACGACTTACTTACCCGGCCCCCATTACTTCTGGAGAAGCACACCGATTCACCATACCCCAGGCAGCCCTTCCTGTGACCAGGCAAGAGAGATGACGCAGAGACTCCATGAAATACACAAGAGACCTTGCTATGCCAAGCCATTAGTCTGGGAGATGCTCAGACACCCAGGTGATGGGCATCAGTACAAATCCCACAGAACGGCAGACAGCGTTTCTTACTGAGACCATAAACCATAACGGATCCGCTTGCCATCTAACTACGCCCCGCTCGCCGCAGTATTATATGGCTTTTCAGTAATGCCCTATTTTATTGTGCACTGGCGCCAAGTGACTGCTGCTTTTATGTAACTACATTTGGGGCCAGATTCTCTTCTCGGTTATTCGTGTGCTCACTTACCGGAGTCCCTCTTTGCACGGGTGTAAATAAGAATTTACCCCCATGTTTGACTTGGTAACTGCTCTTTAACTATTTAGCCGTGACTCGTTCCTATAGATTGCACGGGGTCCACTGCTCAGCAAAAACGACATCCAGCTGCTGATTTTTCAAGCACATTCCCAGTGCTGAGGCTTTCTGCTGAGCAGCAGCCTTGATAATTGCACTCCAGAGATCCCCGAGGGATTCCTAGGTAACCGCACTACAGTTTCCCTGGCAGAGATAACAAAGGTCGGACTCTGTGATAACACATAACAATGGATTGTTAATATTTTAATGAACAATGCTGCAGTTGGATTGGTGAGGTACACCTCCCTGGCCCCCCATATTCCCAGTCAGACACTTGGGTTGCTGGACAACAGTTAGAAACAAACAGGATAATGAGACAGAAATGATGGTGCTTAGATACTGCCGTGATGACATTATTAATACATGGATACTAGAGACAGCTTGGAAGCTCCATTCAAAACATAAAGCTTACCAAAATATTTATGATTAATTGTGATTTCATAGCAGGGGGCCATTTTATTTCTCACCGGCCCCCCTCTTGATCCACAGTCCCAGTGCCTGGGAAGTCATGCGTTTAAAACCAAGACCCTGATTGTCACTAAGGCCCATTTACATCTCTCTGGCAGTAATAGAATTTACCCCTCCTTCCAGGCCCCTTTACACTGCCAGGGAGAAGTAAAGAGGTCTTCGTATAAATGAGAATCAGGCCCCCGAGCTGTTCAGCTGCCTCACCTTCTTGCTGAAATTTACCATCCCCAGCGTGGAAAGGCGAGTGAGTGAAAGGAGGCTCAATATAATAATTCCCTTCTGAGGATGTGGTCAGCCAGCTATTCACCCTGCATGTAGTTACACTGCTACTTCATGGCAGAGCAGAGTCTGGAAATCTGTGCATTGGTGCTGGGCTGTGGAGTGAAATTTTGAAACTGTGCCCTGACTTTACAAGGGATATGGACTGGAAATTATAAACAACCCCTTGCAGCTCCTGGCGTCACTGCCTAGAACCAGCACATCTCTCTCTACCGTTCTGCGCAGTGGCTCTTTGTAGGTGCTGTGATAAAGTACTGTGCCCGCAAATGACATGTGAGTCCTAGCTGCAAAACAGCTCAGGCTCTGGAGTCCCATCCCCCCAAAGTCTGCAGGCGTGTCAGTCCCAAGTTTTTATTTGGGCTTCTCTCTCAATCGAATGATCAGTTACCGCAGAGCTAAAGTGCGGCAAGACTTAAATAACATGCCACTGAATGGCTAGAGCTGTGTGTGGCGTCTCAAATCACAAGGCCTCAAGGTAAAAGGGATTTTTGCTTTTGTCTCAATGTGGGTTTCCCTTGTTAAAGGTCCAGCATGGTCGACAGTGCAGTGAAGTCACTTTATCTGCTGGTTCTAAAACGTTGCCGTTCACGGGAGTTTACTAACCTGTTGCCAGCTTGAGGACAGGCCTGAATTTCCTCCAGGGCTCACTCACCTCAGAGTGTTTCATCTTCCTCCAGGGCACCAAAGAGGAATCAGGCAAAGATGGCACATATCCCAGGACAGTCAGCTTCCTGCGATCGCAGGGGATGGGACGGGGATGAGTAGATCTGTTGGAGGTTAAAGCACAAAGCTGTTGAATCAGAAGCCCAGGCATAAGCAGCATTTAAAAGTTTATAATTGGAGCTGAAGCAAAAGCCTGAAAGGTCACAAAGCTTTTTATTAGATTAGCCAGCATATTATCAGAAATCTGGCCCCTCTGCTAAGACATTCCAACGCCTTTACAATGGGTGGCCCATTCCCAGCTGAGAGATCACTACATAGATAGTCCTCTCTGGAGTTAGGTCAGGAGGAGTAGAGAAAGGGCAAATGTGAAAAGCAAAGAGAAGCTGTAGGCTGAAAGGATGTCAGACATCGGCTGCCCCATTTGCAAGGAATCCCCAAAGACAACTGCACATGCAGAGGTGATTTTTAAATCCACAAGCTCACAGACCTCTCACGGGCATGACTTAGGTATCCCAGTGCACATGTTAAGGACCTAATCCTGCAGCCCTTACTCGGGTAAAATTCCAATCAACTTTCCCTTGAACTCCATGATTTCCATGGGAGTTTGGTCCCAGGAAGGACTGCAGGGTTACGTTTTCTCGCATTTAAGAGGGGAAAGCTCTAGTGACCAGAGAATTGAGAAATGCTTAGGCTAGCCACATCCGGTCCTGTTCTACAACTCTGTTCAGCGATGAGAAAGAAGCACACAGAGGGTATCACATGCCATCTGCCTGAGCAGCATTCAGGCTGGCTGGCATGTAGGTTTGCCTCCTGTATGTGGTTGATTTGACCTACTAGACCGAGCACATGAATAGGAAAAGAGGCAGAAACACTGTCACTTGGGACATTTAAATGGAGACTGGACCAAAGGCTAGAGAACGTACACTAGGGAGCCATCCTGCACTGGCTGATGGGTGTCTGAGACCCAGTGGGTCTTTGCATCACTGCGCTGCCCTGCCAGCAAAAACAACCAGATTGATAACCATCAGCAACCTATTATCCTATTGATCCTAGGGGAAAGCACGTGAAACCCAATAATCTTTTGAAATGGAGCTGGTACAGTGAATAACAATCTGCATCGCAGTATTTAGCCTCGCTCCAACTTGGCAGCAAGCAGGGAAGGAATTCGGCACCCAAAAGGCTTGGCTTAGCACAGGCAAAGAGATTTGCACAAACCAGTCCAGAGCAGCTACCTGGCTGCCAGGAGGCTCCCTCAGAAATCCTTCCATTTGGTTGGCTTCCTTTGACCTCGTTGCTACGCAACAGCATATGCCTTTCCAGCAAGCTTCAGCTTCTCAAAGGCAGAGCCCCGTCCTCCCCCCTTGGGCCCCCACCTCCCCAAATGTGAAATGAATCAAGCAGCTCCGGAGGAGAAATGATCTCTGTCTCGCAAGGAGGTTTTTAAATAGATCTGCACTGTGGTATAAAGACTGGCTTCATGAGGGCATCCACCCCTGCCTTGTTACAACCCGAATGAGCCTTGTTACAATGAAGAAGGGAGGGGAGGAGGGAGAAGCAGGGAACTAATTGTTCCATTTCATGAAATAAACAAATCTATATAATTAAAATGACTATGAATGGGGGCCGTTCAGGGCCTCTGGCTCTCCTACTGTGTATCCCATTCCCTGTGCTACCCAACTGCAGCAGCTTAGACAAAGGTGCCGGCTATTCCATCCAGTGCTCGCCACCTCCCATTCATTTTTGCACTCTAGCCTGCCCAGTACTTGGATTCTTCCGAACGAACCATGTTGGTAGAGGCGAGCAGCAGTGCCACACCGCAGTCCCATTCAGAGGCTTAGCATTAAAGGAGGGAGCAGCAGCCTAGCGTGCCAAGCATAGAAGACTGATGTCCAAGCACTGGCCCATCTCTAGGGTGTATTGCACCCTGCACGGGAGCTCACACTTATTAGACAACCGACTCTCTGAAGAGACCACCCCAAAGTGTCCCAAAACATAGTGAGTACGATTCTGCGCCATCTTTTTTAGATCGTCACCTCAGATAGGCACCTGGTTTTAGCTGGTCCCTTAAGGCAGGATTCACCATGTACATGACAGGAGGGAATCCAAGCTCAGGTGCTGTCCTCACTTACTGATCCACCAGGTATAAGCTTCCTCAGTCAACCTCCCGTCATGGTCACAACTTGGCTCCAATTCACTGGATTGCTCCAACGCCCCCCTTTGAGAACTAAATGAGGTGTCTCATACTCTATCTTTAGTCCATCAGCTTTGTCCTCACTGCACAGTAACAAGGATTGGACTGCCGGGGGCTGCATCTGGCCCTTGGGCTGCACATAGCGTGCCCCTAACTGAACAGAATTGGTTTATTTCACGAAGAAGACAACAAGGAGCTCCTCTGAGGTCTCAGAAGCTACCGTTGCACTGAATTGTACACGGACAAAAGCCAGGTGGGGGTAGAGCTCCTATGGTTTAAACAAAGTCCTAGGAGTCAGGACATCTGGGGTCATTTCCTGGCTCTGCCACAAAACCTGCCGTGTGTCTCTGTTTCCTCACGTGTAGAATCCTTACCTGCCTCAAAAAGGGGACAGTGAAGCAAAATTCACTAACAGTTGCAAAGTGCTTTGCAATTCTTGGATGGAAGGTGCTACCTAAGTGCAAAGTACTATTTACTCCTCCCTCAACCTGTTTTGTCTCATGCTTAGAGGTGCCCACAGCTTCAGTGGAAGTTACAGGTGCTCTGCACCTTAGCAAACCATGCCCTGCCGGGTTACGGTATAATTACAGATTCTGACCCTTCCTACCAACAGTTGGCTAACCACCAAATTTCGACATGCTTTGTAACTTCTTTCCTTCTCTTTCTCTGTTCCAGGGCTCGGCTCCCATTCTGGTAGTCATGGTGATCTTACTGAACATTGGCGTCGCCATTTTGTTTATTAACTTTTTCATCTAACTCAAGACTGTCTTGTTTGCAAAAATAAGAGTTACGTGTATGAACGGGGGGGAAAAAACCAAACAAAAACAAATCAAAAAAAGGGAAAGATCATAACTTGAACTGTCCTATGACAACTTCCAAGTCTTTTCACAGAACAACAACAAATGATTGAGTCTCACTCACAGTTTGCCTTTTTTTCCTGGGTAATGTTTTTTGGATTTTAGCCAAAATTCTTCGCTTGTACAACACTATGCTGTGTGGCATGGCAGAATGCTAACAACTCTCTGACCCTCCCAGCCCCAGAAAGGATGAGACAGGATCCCAGCAAAATAAGTGTCAGTTATTTTTTCCCCTCCAAAGTAAATAAACAACAAAAATTGCAAAATGGAGGTAAGAGGGTGGGCAGATGGAACAGGGCACGAAGGGGGGTGAATGAGTCTCTGGTGTAAACACTCAACCTCATTGTTGTGAAGTTAATGGGGGGGAATCCCCTTTCACCCATCCCCCTCTAACACACACACACACACACACACACACACCCCCGCCACAAAAAAAACCCTCATATTTTTCTTCCCCTCTCTGCTACCAGAAAAAAAAGCAGGAGTGAGGAGGAGAAAAGGAGGTGCTCGGGGAGGGGAAGAGACCCCCCCTGAGTACAGAGGATAGAGGATGAAGGGAAAGTGGCCTATGTTTGTTAGAGTTTTAAAAAATTCTGAAGCAATCAGCATTTTGCTCAGTTCTGGTATGGTGGTGGGGGGATTACAAGGTGTAAATATCATACCTGCTGTCACCCTCCCGTCCTCACTCAGCCAGAGCAAAACCACCCTCTTTCCGTTCAAAGCTGATGTCTCCTAGCTACAAATCTGCCCTTCCCTCACCCCATATATTGCCTGGTGGCTTATTACGGCCCAACTCCCCCATACACACACATCAGGAGCGGTGATACTAAAACAATCACCAGCTATCCCATCCTGAACTGTAACCACACCTACACAACCACACCAGCGCTTACAGAGAATGCAAGGAAGCTGTCTGGTGGGAGATTCGATTCTGATCCAGCAAAGGACATCTGGGGAGGCGCATCGCAACAGCTGCAGGAGCGGAGGAACGCGGCTGGGTATGCCTGTTACATCTTGCCATGGACCGCTTCAGACATCATGCTTGGGCTCTGAGCATGTAGTATTTTTGCACTTTGTATGCAGGATGTATATTCCAGCTTCCGACATGTCCCTGTAAAAAAACGTCATTGGCAACGGCAGCCTTTAAGGATGTATTCTTTTCTATACGTCACTTAATTTTGTTCATTTTAACATCTTTGTAATGGAAGTGGCCTACTGAGGTGCCTTCCAGTCCTACCCTTCTATGATTCTATGCCTGCCTTGATTTTTTCCCCATCCCTCCCTCCCCCGCCCCGATAATACACATTCATTAAAGATACAGTACCCCCAGTCCTGAGCTTTTATGGTCGCAATGACAAGAGCATGGTTTTAGCTCAGTTGCTTGGAAATTCCTGACGTCCTGTTGCATTCCAAAAACAATGTAACTGTTTTCCCTGCCTACCCCCATCCCCAAAACCACATGCCGTCTGTCCTTGCCTGCTACGTCAGCTGTGCACTGCAAACGGTTAACTGCCTCTCTTTGATACAGTATATATCGGCACCCCATCTGACCCACAATTACACCTACTGCAAGTCCATTGGATAAAGAGGGGTGAGGGAGTCATGAGGGTCAGATATGGCCCAAATACAATCCTAGCTTTGATCTGTGCCCAAATCCGTCTCATCATTTTACATACAGAGTGTTGGACACAACCTGACTTGGCTTTGCTTTGCTTACATTTTAGCTGTTTCTCTGCTACCTTTTCAGCAGATTTCTTTATTACACTGCACTGGATTGCTATATTTTTAACCAGAAATAAACTAAAGATTAGCGCATGTGCCAGTTAAATTCAGTTCTTTTTCTTAAACTGCCACGCTCATTCCGTCTTGCCGTTTTCTTTCCTTTTTTTGTTTGTTTTCCTTTCTGGGTAGAGGGTGTGGGATGGAAGGAATGAATGGCAGTTAACGCGAGCCTAGTAACCTTTCTGATCATTTTGTTTCCAGGGGAACAGTCCATCTTTTTTGTCCATCTTCATTTTTCCCCCCATTCATCTTTTTTAATATTGAATGGTTGCTGCAGACCTTAAGTGAACCAAATAACGACATCATGTAATTGCAGCCCTAGGAAACCATACATGCTGCGATATGTGTTTTGTAATTCTGTTTGCAACTCTTTGTAAAGATTCTAGAGAACTTTTTTTGTACATTCCAGTAAGTGCATGACACACAGATACCTACAGAAGCAGGTTACATATTTAAATGCAAACACAGTACAATATTTAGATATGTATAAAACAGCACAAAAATGCATATCATTATCAAATAAAAGTACTAGTGGTTTCATGCCTAGGTTTCTCACACTGGTGACTGACTAGTTATTACTGCTTTTCTTTCAGACCTCCAAGGAATCAATATATGACTACCCCAAATTCAACCTAAGTCCGTTTGTCTTTCATCTCTTGGTTTCTCCCTTTGAAGCATCTGGCATTGGCCACTGTCGGAAGACAGGATGCTGAGCTAGATGGACCATTGGTCTGACCTACTATGGCTGTCCTTATGTTCTAGTTTCTATGGGACTAAACATTCAAAGTGTCTAAGATTCAGTGGGTCTGAAAGACATCTGAAGATTAATATTAATTGATTCCCAAACAATGTGATTAAAAATAATGATCCCTTGATTAATCGAGGTGAGTTGAGCAATTTGTCTTAGCTCTGTGCTTTCACATCCACCCAGAGTCAAAAATAGTATTGACAAGTAGCCCAAAGAGATAAACAACTCATTGTACTCTCTCTACCACATAAGTACTGTGTTCATGGCTCTCTCTCTCTTCGCCATGTCTAAGACACGCATCACCATAGTATCTAGACACCACATCCATATATACTCTCTCTCCATGCTGTTTTACACATATACTCACATGCATAGCTAGACACATGCATGCAAGCAGCTGTGTGATTCTGAAGACAATTGACTTTGCTTTTCAGTCTTAGGGATCTTCTCATTTTCCTAAGGAGGAAGTTGCAGCTATTTAAAACCAGTCCAACCTCATGTCCTGAACCTGCCCCCAAGCTGCAGGAATGGACCAAGCTCCCCACCCACATCCCCCGCCCAGATGCACGTGGTTTCCTTGCTGGACTCCAGAAAGGCTACCTTCATCTCTCACCCTGGACCACCAGTGGATCATTGTGAAGTCAAGTCTTTCAGGGAAAAGTAAGAAAGAAGGATACAAAAGTCCCCCGGATTGGCTTAGCTCTAGTCCATCTGGCTGTTCTTTTTGCTCAAGGTCCCTTGGAACATGTAGTAACATCCCACGGCTCATTTCACACAGCCCTATGACATGGAGTCACCCACTCAAACCACTGACAATTGCACGCTGTTGAAACAAACTTTTCATTTGTTCTCTTGCCAAGGTCCCTTTCTCTACATGCTAATCAGTTACCATGCTGATACAGCTAAAGGTTACCATGCTGATACAGCTGAAGAAATTGGATGTGGTTGGACTGAGTTGCAGGAGGGGGGAAAAAAGGCTTAATTCAAGTGTGTAGTTTAAGTAACTGAAGGCCTGATTTTCAGAGATGCTGAGCTCCTGCAGCTCCCAATTATTGCCGCTGGAGTGGCGGATGCCTCGGCACTTCTGAAAATCAGGTCCTCGCTGAATTGCAGGCACAGTGTTTAGTCTATTACTATTGTTTTTCCTCTCTGACCTACACTGTATAGCTCTCTGGCCAATCCTGCCCTGAACTATTACTGAAGGCAATGCTGTGCGTGGGACCAACAGGGATAGCTCAATGGTTTGAGCATTGGCCTGCTAAACCCAGAGTTGTGAGTTTAGTCCCTGAGGGGGCCATTTAGGGATCTAGGGCAAAAAGCTGTCTGGGGATTGGTCCTGCTTTAAGCAGGGGGTTAGACTAGATGACCTCCTGAGCTCCCTTCCAACCCTGATATTCTATGTGGTGCACATTAGAGACATGCACTGTGGATAAGAGATCCAGAACGTGCATCAGAGGAGAGAGTGGTTCCCTTCACTCGTAACCTTGTCTCAAACCTCACGATTCCTTAGAGAGTTGCTTTTTCCTTCATACTTTATTCCTCTTCATATGAATCCACTTCAGGTTCCAACAACACAGGTAGTGACCATTCTGGTATTTAACTTTAGTGTCGACATCAGCTCATTTTTCCAGGGTATGGATAACTGTGTAATTACCACACTGACCTAGGATAACTACCGTGGCCAGTGAATCCTATGGTTATCAGAGGGTGTCCAAAGGTCCAAATACAGAATACGCATAGGAGCATTCGTGCCTCATAGGAATAGAGCCTTACCCATCCCCCACCGTTTATGACTTCTTAGAGCTCGCTTTGCATGGCGGACGGTGATGGTGGTTGTTTTTTGTCCTTGAGGGTGTAAAGGTACCCAAATGCTTGGCTGCTGCTGAATGCTATTAGTACAATCAGGCATAGTGCACCTGCCGTGCAGCAGAATGTAAATGGCCCAGCCTATCCTGGCATTGGTGGGTCGTAGGGCCATTTTCATACAGGATAGTGGCACAGCCTGTGAAGTAATGGAGCAGTATGGATTTTGGCAGACCCAAGGAGGGCTGGTTCCACGTGTGTTGTACTGGTGACCGTTTCACACAGCAAGCCTCTGAGTGCAACACCCCCCCCCCCTTATAAATTAAAACACTTTTTTTATATTTAACACTGTTATAAATGCTGGAGGTGAAGCAGGGTTTGGGGTGGAGGCTGATAGCTCATGACCCTCCATGTAATAAACTCATGATCCCCTCAGGGGTCACAACCCCCAGTTTGAGAACCCCTGTGTTAGAGGATAATTGGTTACTTCCTTTATCTGTCAAGTGTTTTAACACCACTGGCAATTTTTAAATCATGATTAGATGTTTTGTTAAAAACTCTGCTCTAGGAATTATTTTGGGGACGTTCTCTGGCCTGGAGGAGAAG